GGGCGGGCGTCCAGCTGCTGAGGCGGGAATTCAGAGCCTGCTCCGACGCCCCCTTGGGCAGCAGGATCTCGGCCCCGGGCAGCCCGGCGAGAGGACGCCGGGAGCAGGCTGGGGATTCCCACCTCAGCAGCTGGACGCCAACCAACCCGCCCCTCCCCCGTGAGACAAGCCGGGCTACCGAGAAAAGGGGGCGCAGGGCTCCCGAACCTGCCTGCGCCCTGGGAACCGCGTCACTCGCTGCGAGCGGCGACCCCCCAAAAAAGCAACCTTACCTCAAGGCGCCCCTACTCCTCTGAGCTGCTCCGCGCCAGTCGCTCCTCCGGGCAGTAGCGCCTGGAGTAGGGTTTTTAAACCGTGTTCTCCCCGAGGAGCCCCACCCCCTTGTTAAGGGCTGATAGGTGCTAACGAGCTTAATAAGGACCAAAGCCCCATTGAGCGCCTCTCAGCCTTGCCTAGGAAGTTGCTAGGCTCAGCACAAGGACCCCAAAGAGAGCACACTGCATGTGCCAGGGGTGGGGAACCAAAGGGCCAGGGGTTGGATGCAGACCCCAGGTTGCCTGGATCCAGCCTCTGAAGCTTGGGGCTCCCCCCAAAGGGCCCCATGTTAGTGAATAGTGTGGGTTTGGTTGCTTCTCGCTTGTGTGTGGGCCCTGATTGATTTTTCTGTGGGTCAGTGGCCCCCAACCCAAAAAAGGTTCCCCACTCCTGCCATAGTCAAGCAAAAACCACCCCAACCACACACACCCTAGGGTCACCTAATGGCTCCCCCTATCACCTGGAAAACTTCCTCACTAAACTCCGGTTAACTGCTTCTAGTCACTGTTGCACTTGTGGTGGCTGACAAAGACAGTGGTGCTCTGTCCAGCTATATATATTAATTTCAGATTTCTGCATCCGGATGCCCCTCCAACCTGAGGCCCTGTTTCCACTAGCACATATGTAGCCAAATCTTTGGCCACTCAGGAGTGTGAAAAAAACAGATCCAGGCTTAAGCAACATAAGTTTTGCTGGCATGAGCACACTTGCACGGTGCTGGGTTGGTGGGATATGCACTCAACAGAGCTGCTGCATTCCTTGAGCTGCTTTTATTACATCGCCGGGCGGGCTCTCTCCCATCTGCATAACATGGCTAGGTAAGTGCTCGGACAGTGGTGCAGGGGTATTGGCTTGGCTCTGGGCAGGTGGGCAGAACAGCTGGAGGGACAGTAGCTATGCACACCAGGGTTCCCAGATCTGTAAGGCTACGTCTACATTGGCAAGATTTTGCATAAATACTCTTTAACACAAGAGTTTTTGCGTTAGAGTATTTGCACAGGACAGCATCTACACTGGCATGTGTCTTTGCGCAAGAGATGTGCTTTTGCACAAGAGCATCCGTACCAGTGTAGACGCTCTCTTGTGCAAGAAAACTCCGATGGCCATTTTAGCCATCGGGCTTTCTTACCTGTCTATACTGGCCTCTTGCGCAAGAGGACTCATCCCTGAGTGGGAGCGTCAGAGTAGTTGCGCAAGAAGCGCTGATTTCACAAATTAGAACGTCAGTGTTCTTGCGCAAGAACTCCCCACCAGTGTAGATAGGCAGCATGTTTTTGTGCAAAAGCGGCCGCTTTGGCGCAAGATCGTGCCAATGTAGACACAGCCTAAGAGTGAGGCAGGAAAGAGAAGAGCAGCATTAGGGGTCGGCGCATGGCTATGACTTACCGCCCCCCCCCTTAGGGGTTACAGAGCCATTGTGTCAGCCACAGCACAGACACAGCTTGAAAGATAGCTCTTGTGCCAAAGTGGGGGGGGGGCTTTTTTAGGTCAGGGGCACTACCCCACAGAAAAATCAGGGGTCACACACAAGTGAGAAGCAAAAAACTAAACCAAACCAAACCAAGCCAACAAACCATAAACAAAAAGACAACCCCAAACCACAGCCCTCACTGACCTGGCCCTGCATAAGAAGTAGGAACTAAAAACCCCTCACAGATGTAATCCTCAACTGAGAAGCAGGAAAAAATGATGCTCTCCACAAGCTGCAGCCTGATGGAAGGGGGAAATGCCAAGGCTCTGGGCTTACTCCCAGAGCTAGATTAACTCTCCTGGACATCTGGGGCTACTGGATTTTGTGAGCCCTCCCCAGGCTCTGGAGTGGAGCCAAAAATAAGAGGTTCAGTGTGCAGGAGGCGGCTTTGGGGGAGCAGGCTGAGGGTAGGAGTGCAGGGTCTGAGTGGGAGGTAGGATGCTGGAGCAGGGTGGTTGTCATGGTGCAGGGTCTGGGTGGGTGATAGGGTGCAGGAGTGGGCTGGAGTGGGCTGGGGGTGGGAGTGTGCAGGAGCTGGGTGGGGGCATAGGGTCAGGTGGAAGATGGCAGGGGATGGTGGTGCCTACCTGGTGCAACTCTGAAGGAGCACTGCAGAAAAGCCTTCCCTACAGGCACCCCTCCATTCCCATTGGTTGCAGTTCCTGGCCAATGGGAGTGATGGCAGTATTTCCCTGCAGCAGACAAGAGCTGCTTCCTCCCCCTGCCAGGCTGAGGCTGTGGGCCCAATTTGGCCATGATTTTTGGGGCTGACCCTCCACCCCTGCCACTCCGGCCATGCTAGCTCATACTACTGCATGGGGGGAACCCCAAGCCTCATGGGCCAGATCAAGGCAAGCCACAGGTGCATTGGGTGGTCATTTGACATGAACTCAGAGATTCCAAGGCCAGAAGGGACCATTATGCTCATCTAGATCACGTCTACACATCAGGGCTAAACTCAAAATAAGCTACACAACTTGAGCTATGCTAATTGCGTAGCTTGAGTTGAAATAGCTTATTTTGACTTTTGGCGCAGTCTACACAGCAATTATTTGGAAATAGAGCACTCTTCCCCCAACTGCCCTTACTCATACAATGAGGTTTACAGAAATCAGAGTAAGAAGCCCATTATTTCAAATTTATTTCGAAATAACAGACTTGGTGTGTAGACATGTTATTTAATAATGCTGCTGTGTAGACATAGTCCTAGTCTATGCTGCATAATGGGCCAGTGCATTTCACTAGTGGGTTTTTTTTCATCTGGTCCACCACTTCTGGCCAGGCTAGAGCACAGCTTGTATAAGAGACATCCAGATGTGATGTAAACACTCCAAGGGATAGTGGATCTGCTGCATCCCTAGGTCACTTGTTCTGACAGCTAATTACCCCCCTAAAAATCTGCACCATTTTTCCAGTCTGAAGTTTTCCAGCTGTAGCTTCCAACCATGGGATCTCGTTCTGCCTTTGCTCTTGAGAGCACAGAGCCCCCCTCTCCCATCAGAAACCCTCTGGCCATATGGATATTTATCAACCATCATTCTTGTCATTTCTTCACCTTCTGGTCATGAAGTGAGCTTCCATAGTCTACTGTATGGTAAGTTTTCCAGACCTCACTTGACTCTAGTGGCTGTCCCCTGTACCCTTTCCAACATGTCCCAGCACAACATGACCCAGCCATATGCTGGCTTGTCTCAGCCCTACTTAGGGGATGAAGCTGGAGGAAATCAGAGCCTGCAATGGAAGAGCTACTTAGTATTTAAAATGTGGGAGAGGGTCTAGCCCTCCCACTTGCTACCTCCTGTGGCAGGGGAAGGAGAGGGTGTGTTCTGGGAAGACAAAATGGCCCTTGCACAAGCTGATCTGGAGAAAATCATCGTTTTAATAACAAGGTTTAGTACAAAATGAAAAGGCACAAGAAATGGACCCAGTTTCACAGACAATAATATGGCAAGGCTTAGTACAAGGAAGAGACCCCCAAGCCCTGGGCAGAAGGGGGGGCCACAGAGGCACTTAGACATGAATGGGCTCTTCTGTGTTGCTCTGGTCTTCATACACCCTACAGAAGGCACTTACTGGCCCAGCCAGATTGCCTGCACTTAGGCAGCTGTCTTCTCTCTGGCTCCTGGCATGAGGGACCCTCTCGCTGAGAGGGTATGGCAACTGGGCCTGGACATTGGCACTTGGGTTTCAATGGCTTCCCAGCCCCATATCCTGTAACTAGTGTCACAGTGGTGCTGCTGGGGCTTGTCTTTCCCAGCCAGGCAGGAACTTGGGCCGAACCCTCCTTTCCCCATTCCACGAGAAGACTCTCTGTCACCACTGAACTAGTTCTGTGGTTACACACGCCCAGCTGGGATGGTCTCCTGCAATCCCAGGGTCTCTGGGAACTAAGGCAGATGCACCCAACCATCTTATGTAAAGCCCATCACATTGACATCAGAGAGCTTTGGGAGGGAGAAGAGGCTGCTGGTGTCCCCAGATTCAAGGGTTACGGAGCCTACAGCCAACGCACTCTGCCCAGCTCACATGTTTGCTGAGACCCTCTCATGTCCACAGCTCCCCCAACAGCCCATAGCATGCCTGCATGTGAGGTAAAACCCTAACCCTGGCCCACCTCCTCTGGAGGGGTGGTGGTGGGAAGAGATACGTAGTGGAGGCCAGATGCCTTCACCTGGGATTGGGCTTATGCCACACAGCCAGGATCATTGGCCAGCCCTTTGGCTTCTCTTGCTACAGAGAACCAGAATAGCCAAGGGAGGACAAGCAGAGCACCCATGGAGCCAGAGGATAGACCTGGGGGGGGTGTCTTCCAGCCCTCTCTTCCCCTCCCCCTCCCGCTCTCTCTCACACACACCCTTTTCCCAAACTGGGGCTGCTTGTCCCTCCCTGGTCTTCTCACGGCCTTTGTGACCGGGCACCAAAGATGGCCTCTGTCTCGGCGCTCCACTCTGGGTCATTGCGCTGCAGGAGCTGGAACGGGGTTTCCCTTCTGCGTTGCAGGAGCAGCAGGACCAGCAGCAGACACCAGAAGAAGAAGTTCACCCAGGCAGCTGCCTGTTGGAGTTGGGAAAGGCTGGTGAAGCATGACTGCATATCGCTCTCCTTGCCCATCTGCCTCAGGCTCTTCCTCCGAAGTGCCTGCCCCAGGAAGCAGTGGCCAGACTAGTGGCTTGTCCAGCTGTTTGTCCTGTCCACTGCTTTACAAGCAAACAGTTGGTGTAACACACCCAGCCCCCATGGGATGTGAGTCCCTCCTCTCCTGAAGCATGAGGGAATTCAACTTCATTCTTACCTCAACCCCCATCATCAGTGGTCACCACGATACTCAACTCTTCCTCAGTCTGGCTGCCTGGAGCCCCCCAAGCTCATTGCACTGCAGCAAGTCAAATTTCCTCACATGAATTATGCAGGGCCCAGCTGTTAAAGGAATACTGCCCACCTTCTTCCCCTCCCCCACTGTCTCATCTCATGGGACAGGGTCTGAACCGGGGGCTTCAGAAGACTGGCTCTCACTTGCTGTTCAAGCTGCGCTGGTGCTGCTGTGCTCCCATGTTTCTCTCAGCAACTGCCAACCCTCCTTGAAAATCTTGGGGTCAGGACTTGTGTGCCCCTCCATGCCCCACCAGCCAGCACCCCCAGTCCCGGGGTTTGTTCTCACCTCAGCACTGTAGAGATTGTCATAGAACCTTGCTGCATTATACTGTGGGGACCATGTCACATGCTGGGCCTCTTGGCAGCTACAGTGGAGTTAAGAGAAGGCAGAGCACCTATTAGCTGGAGAGCTAGAAGAGGTCAATCCCCCGCACCCGCCAGGCTGAATATTGACACTGGGTCAGAGCCTCTGGCTGCTGAGAGTGATGTCCCTCTGCACGTGGGCAGTGCAGTCCTCCTCAGAGAGAAACCCACCTACCTTTTCACAGCTCTGGTCTGGAGGATGGACGAGCACAGAGTGTCCATCCCAACCCGGAGGATGCAGGCTGAGACCAGCAGGAAGAAGAGGATCACAGCAGAGATTGCCAGGTTCACAGTGAGCCAAGTGCGAGCCCTGGTTTGGGACGGGTGAGAGATCAGTGGGACAGCCCATGGGATTGGCTGGCTCTAACCGCCCTCCACGCACCCATGCCCTCTGCTCACCACTGCCCCTCGTCCATGCAGCAGCTGTAGATGCCGTAAAGCAGCACTGAGAAGCAGTACAGAGCGATGAGGATGGAGATGGCGGCGACAAAGTAACAGAGGGAGATGTTGTTGAAATGAGACAGAGTGAGGACTGTCCCATTCTTGGCTACGGACCCATATAGGATACACCGGCCACCAAACTCCCCCTGGGAATGAGAAAACAGAGACAGCATCTTGGGGGGCGGGGCAGAGTCTACTGCACAAGGGACAAGGACACCCCTACTCGGCAGCATGTTCTATAGCAAGGTAGTGAGGCCCCAATGTCTCTGCCAAAGATTGGGGGTGGCTGTGAGAGGAAAAAGAGGATGGATCTCCAACGATCTTGGAGGTACCTGTATGGCCCCCCCATTACTAGAGTATAAGCGGGGGAACTGAGGTCCAGCTCTTCAAAGGTATTTCGATGCTTCACTCCTCTGGGAAGGCCTGTACTCCCCAGAGGAGTCAGTTGCTTAAATAATTGTGAGGATCTGGGCCATACACCAAAAGGCTATGGTGTACCTGTCTCTGGGCTGGCACATCTGCAGTCACACATTTACCCAACCCAATACACACCAATCTTCTGCCATGCTGGCGCTGTGCCTGGGTGTGTTTTGCACTGGGATTTCCGGGGTGTGTCCTAAGGTCCCTGAAGCTGCTCCAGGAATTGGTTTGTGGTGTATTGTGGGAGAACTTGGATGCCCTTCCTAGGCTCCTGTGTGGAATTGGCTCCAGGCTGCATCATTGAGACACAGGGTCAGTGCTACACCCCCTGCTTTGGATTAAGGATTTAAAAAATTCTGGTACCTCTCAAGGTGTTCTCACATACAGTACATCTCACATACTGTACAAGGCAAGGTGATTTATATTATTAATATTACTCCTCCTCCTCCTCCTCCTCCACCAACAGGTTTTTCTTTGAAGCTTAAAGAATGCAGATGTGACAAGTGAGGTTTGACTTTCTTGTGTTTTTCCATGCTATAAAATGTCATATGTGTTAAACTCAATTCTAGCTCATCTTCTTTATCTGTGAAAGCTCAGGTAAAATCAATCTGTCCAAATTAAATGTGAATGATTCGCTGAATTCTTAATGTGCTTATTCCCTTCCTTTCTAAAATCTGTTTGATATACTTTCTAAACAGGATGTTGAAATGTTTGTCTTTAAATAATCTCAGAAAAACTTAATTCTGACAAAAAAAGTGTTCTGTAAGAAATAAAATTTTAGAAAGGGAAAACATTAAACTATTTCTCTTACAAAGCTAATACAATGGCCACAAAAATTAGAAAGTGGCCTTTGAAATGTACAAGAGCCTCTGCTGATTCCACCGACTCTGGGCCGCATGCGGAGTGCCTGCTTTGAAATACACAAGAGTCCCCAGTGGGGGCTCTTGTGCATTTCAAAGCCATGGAGCCTGGGGTCAGTGGGCTCCATGCTATGCTGCATGCCGCATGCTGCTAAGAGCCCAGTGTCAGCTGGGGAGTCCTCAGCTGCCCACAGGCTCCATGGCAGCTGCCCCTTTGAATCATGGCCTCTGTGTGTTTCAAAGGGGCAGCGGAGCCTGGGGTCAGTGGGCTCCATGCTATGCTGCATGCCGCATGCTGCTAAGAGCCCAGTGTCAGCTGGGGAGTCCTCAGCTGCCCACAGGCTCCATGGCAGCTGCCCCTTTGAATCATGGCCTCTGTGTGTTTCAAAGGGGCAGTGGAGCCTGGAGTCAGCTGAGGATTCCCCAGCTTATCCCGGGCTCCACGCAGCACTTCCCTGGATCCCGGGGTAAGCTGCGGAGTCCCCAAGTGATCCCAGGTTCGGGAAAATGCCGTCTGGAGCCCGGGATCAGACTGGGGAGTCCTCAGTTGACCTCAGGCTCCACAGCTGCCCCTTTGAAATGCACAGCTGTGCAGCACTGCCACTTTGAAGTACCCCTGGCTCCCCTCCCCTTCACTGCCTCTATCTCATAGAGGCAGCAACAGAGTGGGAGGGGGTGGATATCAACTAGTCAAAAGACTATCTCATAAGCAAATGCTTATCGGATAGATGACTAGTCGACTAGTCTTTAACATCCCTACTTTGGATCTGTAAGAGGAATCCCTTCAGAGTGCCAGGTCTCTAGGAGTCTCTCTTCCTCCAGGATAAGCCATGCAGCCAGGGGCGGCCCGTGGATGCAAGCAACCTCGGCAGTTGCTTAGGGCACTGCATTTAACACGGTGCCCAATGATGATGTCATGCTATTGAGGGCTATGGAGACGGGGGCACCGATCACACATTCTGCCTAGGATGCCAGTTGCCGGCAGCTCTCCTCGAGCTGCTCCTGGATGCAGCTTTTCCACCGCCTTCAGCTGGACCTCTGGGCCTCCAACACCCCTACTTTGCACCATGAGCTTCTACTGATTGATACAGACCCTGACAGAAGCTTGTCCACTCTTCAGGGATTAATGCACCTTGCCAAACATCTGTAGTAACACCAAACAGTGTCACAACAGTTGGGGTTATCAGGGTAAGGCACACAGCACAGGAAATCCTTGTGTAGCACAGGGACCAGACGGTTAGAGCACAGTTCATTCCCAGAACCCAGCCACATTAAAGTGAGCCTCCCCCTTCAAGCTATGTTACTGAATCTGTCCTCCTTGGTCAGAATCCACATGAGAACCCTGGCTCTTCCCAGCAGCCTTCCCACTCCTTTAGTCTCCTGGTGAATGCTGATTCACTTCCCTTGGGTGAGCTGTCCCTCAGGGTCTTGGCTTGCTAGGCATCAGAGTCCTGGTGACTGAATTTGCCATTGTCTGCTCAAACGCTGTACTGATGTGGAGCCTAAGCTCCAGGCAGCTAGGCCACACCAGATCTGCCCTCAGAGGAAGCAGCTCCTTCCCACTGGGCAGTGTTCCCTCTATTTTTCATGTGTGGAATGAATTCTGTTTTGCACACCTAGGCATGTGTGGCTGTGCACCACCAATATAAATACATGCTACTGCTGGGTGTGGATGCTCTGCTAATCAGCTGGGTGGCTGCCCAAGTGCTTAGCTTACAGCAGGGGTGGGCAATAATTTTTAATGGGGGGACCACTCCAAGATTTTGGTAAGTGGTCAAAGGCCGCACTTCTATGGAGGAGGAGGAGTATGGGACAGAGTTTTGGTGTCGAAGGGTGCTTGGGATATAGGACTGGGATCCAGGAGGCAGTGTGGGGTCTGAGAGGGAGTTTGGGTGAAGGAGGGGGTTATGATCCGGGGCAGGGGCTTGGGGGGGAGGGTCAAGGAGGAATTATGGATGCAGGAGAGGATTCTGGCCTGGGAGAGAGGGATAGGAAGGGGTGTAGAGTCTGGGATGGAGTTGTGATCTGGGAGAAGAGCTGAAAGGGGGTGACATGGGGCAGGGAACTGGGATGCAGGGTCAGGGAGGGTGTATGGGTATAAGAGGGAGTCTGGGGGAAGGGTATAGGAGGGAGTTGAGACCTGGAGGAGCTGGGAAGAGGGGATACAGAGTGTTTGAGTGGTGGCCTGGGGCAAGTAGTTGGGGGAAAAGAGGGTCTGGGATGTCAGAGGTAGGCTCGGGCTGGGACCAGTGCTGGGAGGGGGAGGGAGAGAGGAAGGAGCCTTCACTCTGCCCCTGCCTCCAGCAAAATTGTTCAGCTCCTATTGGCCGGAAACTGGACAATGGGAGCTTGGGGATTTTGTTAGGGATGGGGACACCACAAGGTGCTTTCTCCTCCCTGCGCAGCTTGGAGAGCAATTAGGAGCCTGCTGTTTAAGCGGCTGCAGCTGCTTTTTAACAAGGATGCAGGGGAGGCAGCCACTGGCCGGATTTGGCCTATTAGCTGCCTCTTGCGCACCCCTGGCTTAGAGGGAACAATGCCACTAGGTAACAGTGCAACACACGAGAAACTGAGGCACACAGGACTCAGGGAAATATTACAAAATAGTCCTACTTTGTGTCAGCTTGCTACAGTTTTGCTGAAGCATCTCTGTTCCAGCACTTCCTCTGACTGTCCATTCCAACTGAAGGACAAGCTATGAAGTCATTGGAGGAGACATAAGTAACTCACCCAAGGTTACATAGGAGGCCCGGCTTGGAGCAAGAGGATGTGCTAGCGAGGTGCAAAGGGCTGGGGCATTTCATCAGCAAGTTCTTTACCCTGACTGAAGCAGGTGTAGGTCCACTGGCTGTATCCAGTCTGGCTAGCACCTGTCAAGCCCTGAGCACTGGGGGAAAGAATTTCCTCAGATTCTCAGTGGAGACCAGGCCTGAGAACCCCATAACCTGGCTCTGTCACTTGCCTTCTAAGCTCTTAGGACCAGGACTGACTTCTAGGCTGTGTCTACACTGGGCCACTTATTCTGCAAAATCAGCCGCTTTTCCGGAATAAGCTGTGAGCTGTCTACACTGGCCCTTGAATTTCCGGAAAAGCAACGATGCTCTACTGTACAAAATCAGCCGCTATTCCGGAAAAACTATTCTGCTCCCACTCGGGCATAAGTCCTTATTCCGGAACACTGTTCCGGAAAAGGGCCAGTGTAGACAGCCCAGTAGTCTTTTCCGGAAAAAAGCCCCGATCGCGAAAATGACGATCGGGGCTCTTTTCCGGAAAAGTGTGTCTACATTGGCCACAGATGCTTTTCCGGAAAAAGGGCTTTTCCGAAAAGCAGCCTGCCAATGTAGACGCTACTTTTCCAGAAAAACTGAAAACAGAATAGTATTCCATTTTAAGCAGTTCCGGAAATTCATGCCAGTGTAGAGACAGCCCTAATGTTGCTGCGGATGGGGCTGTTTCGGTGCAGCCAAAAGGCAAATACAGTACAGAATGCAGGGAAGGGAGAATTGAAAACATCCACTCAATGTGCAACTGGCAGTCAAAAAAGCAAATAGAATGTTAGGAATCATTAAAAAAGGGATAAAAAAATAAGACCGAAAATATTTTATTGCTTCCATATAAAACAATGGTATGCCCACATCTTGAATACCGCGTACAGATGTGCTTGCCTCATCTCAAAAAAGATATATTGGCTTTGGAAAAGGTTCAGAAAAGGGCAACAAAAATGATTAGGGGTTTGGAACGGGTCCCATATGAAGAGAGATTAAAAAGACTTGGAATTTTCAGCTTAGAAAAGAAGAGATAGAGGTCTATAAAATCATGACTGGTGGGAAAAGTTATTTACTTATTCCCACAATATAATGAAATTAATAGGCAACAGGCTTAAAACAAACAAAAGGAAGTTTTTCTTCACCCAGTGCATAATCAACCTATGGATCTCCTTGCTAGAGGATGTGGTGAAGGCTAAGACTTTAACAGGGTTCAAAACACAGCTAGATAGATTCATGAAGGTTAGGTCTATGAATGGCTATTAGCCATGATGGGTAGGAATGGTGTCCCTAGCCTCTGTTTGTCTGGAAATGGGTGACAGGGAAGGGATCATGTTAAGATGACCTGTTGTGTTCCCTCCCTAGTTTAGGGCATCTGGTATTGGCCACTGTGGGCAGACAGGATACTGAGCTAGATGGACTGTTGTTCTGACCCAGTATGGCTGTTCGTATTTGGTGGGGAACCAAGTGTCCCCGTCCTGAGACACACAGCCCCTGCGGAGGGTGGAGCCTGGGTGCACAGGGAGGGGTGTATGTATAGAGGCAGGCAGGAAATGCCTTTCCAGAGGCCTCAGCTGACTCGCATTAGCTCCAGGGCTGTGAGCTCACATGACAGCTGGGAGCTGAGTGCAGGAGGGCGTGAGAGCCAATCCAGCAACCGGGGGGCCTGGGCGATGCTTCTCCTCCACTCACCCCCCACCTGGCCAGAGACGAGGAGTCTGCTCAGGGCTTTTAGCCCCTGACCCGCTAGGCGCCCTGTGCTGCCAGCGCTCGCTGCCTGCCCAGAGATGCGGCTTGAAAGGAGCGAAGGAGGCGGCAGGGGCCGAAGCAAGGGGCTGTGACGGGGCTGAGGCAGGGGGAAGAAGCTGGGCGCCATGAGCTGCCCAGAGATTGCTGGCGGGGGAGGTGCAGTGGCAGGAGGGGGCAGCTGCGACACGTGGCACGGAGACACCAGTAGCCCTGGGAGGGGCTGCAGACCGGGGCCAGGGGTTCCCCGCCTCCTCCATCCAGGGGGCTGTCGCCTTTCACCCAGCCCCCGCCCCCGCGCCCCGTACCTGAGTGACCGTCAGGGCTGAGGCGCTGATGACCCCGCAGAGGAAGGCAGCTCCGTGCAGAGCCAGCTCCGCCAGCTGCAGCGCGGACACCGCCATGTTCCCCTCGGCGCCCCGAGCCCCAGTCCCCGCCCCCTGGGGAGGCTCCCGGCCTGCGCTGTCCCCCGCCCTCCCTGCACAACCGAGCCCGGCGCGAAAACACGAGCCCCGCTTCCTGGCGCGCAGTGCGGGGCTAGCCCCCAGCGCTCCCAACCGCGGCGCCCAGCCACTCCTGCCACGCGCCAAAGGGGCTTCGGCCTGGGGGTGTCAGCGCAAGCGGCCCCGTCCCAGCACACACGGCCCCGATGTACAGCAGCGTCCAACAGCCCCGCAACCGTAGGGCTCCGGGCGAGGGCCGGTTCGCCGTTCAACAGATCGCAGGCTTTTGGTCACTCACTGACTGGCACCATATGACCCCTTGAACTTGCGGCCGGGATCCTCGGGGCAGGGGGCACTGCTGGGGTTGGGGAGGGCTGGCAGGCTCCTTACCCAGCTCCCTGCAAGGGCAGGCTCCCTCCATGAGCTCCAGCTCCCAGCAGCAGAGAACCAGACTCAACCAGGGCTCCAAACGCAGCCCACAGGAGAGGCTGCACCCCAGACCTGCCAGCCTGCCACTCTGCCCCCTGACCTAACCCCCACTCTCAGCATTAGCCCAGGCAGCTCCCTGAGCTGCTTGGGCAGCACCAGACACAGCTGTACCAACCCCTGCAGCAGTCACAGAATCCATGACTTCCTGGGCAGAAAGAGCCTTGCTCATTAGGATAGTATCCAGCCTGACCAGTCAACACCTTAAGCACCACAGCTGTGCCCAGCAACAGTATGGGATTTTGAATGTGGGGTGTTAATGAGTAACTGGTTAACCCCCAGCCAACTGACCCCCAGCTGACTGCAACAGCCCCATCCCAATAGGGGGCACTCCAGCCCACCCACCCCTTTTAATTGGTTAATCAGTTCAGTAACAGTTAACCAACTAATTAAACAGTTTTACATCCCTATTGTGCATTGTTTCCTAGCGATTTGTAGATATGCAGCAACATGTGAAACAGACAGCAGGCTCAGAGGAACACAGCATAGTGAGGTTTCTACTTGTCTTTATTGCCCAGGGGAGCTAATACTGCCATCCTGGCATGGCACTGCTTCCCTTATGCTTAATTCCTAGTATTTATCAGTTGTAAAAGACCATATTGTGTGTGGTCAAATGCCCACCATTGGCCACATATAGCATTCCAGCCACAAATGTGCAACCGGCCAACTTAAAACATGCTTGATCCAGGCTCCCTCACTTTTCCACTGATGTCACCAAGTTGGCTGTGCATTGTGAGACCAGACCCTTTCCAGGCAACTCTCTACTAGCAGTTGTGTTATCACACAAATATCTATTAGCTAGTTTTGAGCTAGTGTCCTCTCGGAGCCTGAGCTAACAGCCTGGTTTCTAACCTTGAGCAGGTGATTTGTTTTCTGTTGATTTCAGAATGCTTCCCCTCGCTTCAATCTCAGAGGGCCTTCCAACCTCTCCTTTGCAGAGAAATGAGCCCTGGGTCCAGGGCTGGAAGAGAACAGAGAGGGTCTAGTTTTGCTCTGGTCCCATCTCCCAGTTGCAGGGAGGATTTGTGCTTGCAGCTAGGAGCTATGCCTGTGAAACATCACAAAGATGAAATCACATCTCTTACCTTACAGAATGCTGGAGAGGCCACAGCCCTGCCCTGAGCCTACACTCCTCTCCACCATCCCCAAACTTCAGCCACACACTGCTGCTGAAATGCAACTGAGCTGGGGTGATTGTAGCCACACCCAAGGCTGAACCTCCTTTCCCACTCAAAAAAGTAACACACTGTTCCAACAGCCTGGGATCTTCCACATGCTTAAAGAGCAGTCAGCTCCTGGTGTTCAAAGTCACCACCTGAAAACCTCATGGGCTTTGGTTTACAGACAGACTCAGCTCCTCTTGCTGGGGTTCGACTCAGTGATTGAGAGCAGGCAGATATGGCCCAGGGGTGTGTGTGTGTGGAAGAAGGTCCCTAATTTATAATGGTGGGTTATGAAGACAGGAGCAGCTCCCTCAACTTGCAGGCAAAACTTTCTAGCTGTTAGCCTTCCCTTGGCTGCTTGCAGTAAGCACTGGCTCACAGGCGAAGGGGGGTTTGCTAATGAGCAGTCTCAAGCAGGGGCAAGGCAGGAGTACCTATAGCTCCCTTACCTCATGCAACAAGGGATAGGCTACCAAGCAAATCCTCCATCCTCACCAGCAGGCAGGGGTCAGTACAAGGGTTAGGGCATTGGAGAAATGCTGCAGAGTTGTCAGGAAAATCCAGTCCCAAGAGTCTAACAGAGCTACCCACCCTAAGACACTCACACTCTCTCTCTCTCTCTCAATTACATGTTATATATAATCATGAGCTTTCATGACCAAAGCCTACATCTCTGCTCACCCAAGGAAGTGGGTTTTGTATATTTTGTTAGTCTTTGCATTTTGTATATTTTGTTAGTCTCTGTGCATTTTAGGTACAATGCCCAGCCCCAGACACCAAAGCATCTCAGCTCCCCAGCTCCAAGCCACGTCCTACCCTTGTGGACTCAGCACTCCTCTTGGAGCTGAGGGCGCTAAGATGCTTCAGTTAGACGGTGGTGTCTGGGGCTGGGCATTGTACCTAAAATGCACAGAGGCCCTGAGCCCTATAAGCACCTCCTCGCCCATGTACACAGGTGAAGCCATCGCACAGCAGAAAACCCTGGCTGGCCCTTTGGAGTCACACAGGCAGCACTGCTGAGGGCAGAATGTGTCTTCAACCCTCCTTACGGAGTCCAGAGATTGCTGGGTAGCTCCCCAGCACTGTAGAAGAGACAGCCCTCTCCTGGGGGTTTGGCTTGAGAGGGGGCCCCCCAGTACATCCAACAAAGGATACTCAGAGGTCCAGGGAAGAACCCAGATGGAGCGTGGCCATGCACTGAAGTCCTGGAGCAATCCTCAGAGAGGCAGGTAGAGGGAGTACTCTGAGTGGGCCCACTTCTTTACAGGCTTGCTGGTCCTGCCGATCATGGGCAGCTTCTGTGCATAGCGGGAAATGTGGCTGGGGCCATGATGCTGCGGAAAGCAGGTCTGGAACCGTCGGCCCTGACATCGCAGGCCCACCTGCCGCCCAGCGATTACAAAGCTGAAGTGAGGTGGCCCTTGAGGAGTGAAGCGGCACTTCTGGAAGACATCGCGGACCCCAGGCCGGTGGCCCTGCTGGCGTGATGCACTCCGAGAGCGGGGCATACTGGCTGAACGATGCAGAGCTGGCCTGCCTGGTGGGTAATCTGCCCGGGGGCTCTCCTCTTCCCGAGGGCTCACCGTGGCATTGGCTGTCAGCTGGGGCATCTTGCGCACCACATCCCCTGTGCCAAAGGCTGGCTGCTCTTTCTTGGTGTCCAAGACCTTGGGGCCAGGAGGCGTTGGCTCAGGCAAGTGCAGCCCTGAGCCCGTGCCAAAGCGGGTGGCCAGGCTGTCTCCAAAGAAGTCGTAGAGCTCCTGGTAGGTCTCGTGCAGGGAGACTGAGGGAGAGTCAGCAGAGATGCCAGTGCCCAGCTGGGGGCCCCCGCTGCCCATCTGCAGCAGGTGGCTGGCAATGCCAAAGCTGAACTCCACCTGGGGATCTTGCAGGGGGCTAAGCCAGGGAGAGCTCTCCCGCCAGCACCCATCCCTACACAGCCTGTCCCCCTGGGCTGCCGCAGACACAGACACTGCCTGCGCCTTCATCTTCAGCAGGCGCTCCACTGCCACCTGGCAAAAGAAGAGCTGTTCTGGTTAGACACCCTGGCATCTTTGCTCCGTAGCACCAGCTGTGCCCCTCCCCCCCACCGCAGGGGTTCACTGGCTCACTTGAGCCCCTGAGCCAGGCTGCACTCACACAACCCTCTCTGCCCATCCCTAAGGGGTAGTGGGAAACCCCCTTCACTGTACCCAAGTTGAAGCCAAGTCATTCACATCCCTTTTCTGGCAGGAGCCCTGTGTCTAGCCTGACCAAGGCCAGAAGCTCTGCTCTTGGGAGATCGGGAAGGTAACACATGGAGCTCCTGAGAGAAGGGGCTCCTGAGCTGCTTGGAACCACTGTAACTGCGTGGGCCCTATAGGCAGAGCCCTGGCTCAGCCCTCTCCTCTGTACTCGTGGGGTGAGACTCACCAGGATGGCTCCATACACCTTGTGCCCATCAGCCTTCACCTGGGCATTGGAGACAGAGTAGTCATCCAGCACGGCCTGCAGGTTTGCCCAGTAGGTGGAGAGATGGGGGTAGAGGACTCGTTCCACTGCCTGGGGAGGAGAGTGCAAAAGACCCCGCCCCAAAAGGGCCATTTACTGACTGGGCCCCAAGAATCAACAGCACAGCCACTGCGTGAGATCCAGAAGTACCAGCCTGGGAACTCAGCCAGGATCTTCTGCCTGGTGTGCGCACAGAGAAGGGACTGAAGCACAGCAGGGGTACCTGTTCCTGCAGCAGGTCACCGCGTCCTCCCATGCCCCCCAACATAGGACCCAGCATAGCCACCCTCCTGGCATGGCATCACAGCTTCAATCCACAGACCCAAGGAAACAGGGTGTTTAGCCTAGACACCACCGTTTGCTCTCCTCCCCTGTCCAAAGATCATGTGGGATCGAGAACTGTCCCTTACCTTCCATCCCAGGGCATGCAGCCCCACCACTGCCCCATAATGAGAACAAAGTGGGCGCACCGGATCAGCCAACACCTTCTGGAGGGACAGCAGGATCTGGTGGTATAGGCCACTGACCAGGTCACCATGTGTCCTGAAGACAACAGAGCAGAGGCTGAAGACTCCCTGGGGATGGCACTCATGCATCTCACCCATGACTCTCCGCTCCCCTATTGTGCTCCATCAGAGCTGCAGGCCTGGAAGAAGGCAACTCATACACCACGGGGGCACAACCAGGGCCCTGCCTAGGAGAGCAGGGGCAGCACTGGGCACTGAAGGAAACTCCCACTGACACCAAACATACTGGGTGGGGCACAGATGGTGGTAGCAGTTGTAGGGGCTCCATACCACCCCAGGACGCACCAGAAAATGTGGCTAAGGAGCATAGCAGCATAGTCCCGGAGTGTCCAGTGGTCATTGAGGGGGTTGATGGATGCCGCAAGTGGTTCCAGCACGCAGTACATGACGCTGGCAATCAGGCTCTTGACATAGGAACCCAGGCACAGGTAGGGATTCTGGATGAGGCTCTTGGCAATGTGCAGCAGGCGGTTCAACTGCTCCAGGTCATGGCTGACTGACTTCACCTGGGAGGCGAGAGGGCAGGAGAAGGAAGAGAGCACAAGTCTCACTGCTGCTGGAAGAAGGGAAGGGGCCACCCCCGGGGAGCCAGATGCTTGGGAGGATCTCTCGCCCAAACCCCTGCTTCTCCTGCCCTGAGGACTCCTGCTCCACTCACCCCGCTGACCACGTAGACAAAGTAGGGCAGCAGGGCTGCGATCTTCGAGTTGGTCTGCAGGTCTTGGAGGGCAACCTGTGAGGGGGTGAAGTGTCAGTTAAGGGTCAGAGTGTGCAAATGGAGAGCCCGTGGGGTGGGGGGCATGAGAAGCACTGTCATGTAGCCATTGTCCCTTAGCTCCCTCCCAGACCAGTGATCCATGTTGTGTGTCCTCCTGAGCCAGCCAGAGCTGGTGGGCTGAACCACTGGCGCCAGAACTTTCAGGGGTCCTTTCCCTCCTGGACTGCATCCAGCAGCTTCCAGAACTGGAAGGGACCTCAAGAGGTCATCGAGTCCAGTCCTCTGCCCTCATGGCAGGACCAGGCACCATCAGATCATCCCTGATAGATGTCTCTCCAATGTGCTTTTAAATATCTCCAGAGATGGAGATTCCATAACCTCCCCAGGCAATTTATTCCAGTGTTTAACCACACTGACAGGTAGGTAGTTTCTCCTAATGTCCAACCTAAACCTCCCTTGCTGCAGTTTAAGCCCATTGCTTCTTGTTTTATCAGAGGTCAAGGAGGACAATTTTTCTCCCTCCTCCTTGTAACACCCATTTAGATACTTGAAAACTGCTACCACGTCCCCTCTCAGTCTTCTCTTTTCCAAACTAAACAAGCCCAATTCTTTCATTCGTCCCTCAAAGGTCATGTTTTCTAAATCTTTCATCATTTTTGTTGCTCTTCTCTGGACCCTCTCCAATTTCTCCACATCTTTCTTGGAATGTGATGCCCAGAACTGGACACAATACTTCTGTGGAGGCTGGGGCGCTGCAGTCCTTGAAACAATCCCCCCCACTCCCATTCCAGGCCCTGACAAAGGCACTAACCCCCAGCCCCTCACCCACCTTCATTAGGTGGGTGTCATCCCCAAGCACAGCTCGGGTCACGTGCTGGTAGTACTTCAGCAGGTCATCTGAGAGTGTGGAGACAGCGCTGGGCACTGCAGGAGAAGCCAGGAAGGGAAGGGTTATAGGAATTCAGTGGGGACCCTGCCGGAGCACAAAGAATCTTTATGAGAACAGCAGCAGCCCAAGCCCCAGTATATGGAAGGGACCTGCCAAGGGGCATTGTTCAGAAAGGAGATGGAGGAATGGGGGGGTGGAGAGGTGTCAGAGAAAGAGCAGGGAGAACTCTCCCATGAAAGGATTGGGACTGCTTAGAGAAGGAACAGGAGAAAAGTTGATAGATAACAAATGGGACAGAGAAGGGAGGTCTGGTGCTTCTGTTCTCCCAATCTCTAACAAGACAAGCATTGCCAAAGGCAGCAAAGTTCCTAACTGATAAAAGGACATGTTTTTGCATACACTGCCTGACTGACCTGGGGCACTGCCTGATACAGGGCAGTGCAGAGACCCAGAACTAAGTGAGATGCAGGGGGACATGGATGAGGATGTGGTTAATTAGGACAAGTGAGAGCAGGATAGTTAATGCTAGCAGATTTGGGAAGCAGAGAAAGCCTTCTGCTTTGGGGTTTAGCTTAAGATCAGCTTAACAGGGAAGAGGATGAGGTTACTGTTAGCTCTGCAGGGCAGCAACTGTCTGTACAGCACCCTGCTTCAATACAGTAGGGAGATGCACATAAGGGAATGAGTTGCTCTGCAATTCTCACCAGCTCCCTGCGGTTCCAGATTTCCTTTCCCATCCAGGTAAGAGACGTGAACTACAAGGCAAGCACAGATGCTGTTACACAACTTGGATGATCGCTGCAGCCTAGGATGCTCCTCTTCTAGTGAGGCAGCCTGGGAAAGGGTTCTAGATACCCAAGTGACAGAGCAGGGGGCTTCAAATCCCATGTAGCCAGCTCTGAGGAGACCCCCATGAGCCCAAGCTATTACACATTAGGTGCAAGCCCAGTGAAGAGTCACTACCCAACAGCTTGGATCTGAGCACCAGAGGAACCAATTTACAGGAGAAATAACACAGGTCTAGCCTGGCTGAGTCACTCAAGGAGACTGGTAAGCAGCCCTGACGGGGAACTATCCTCTCCTGGGAGCCTGCATAGCGCCCTGCTACGGGATAGACGGGCGGTGGAGGCAGGCTGCCCCTAAAGGCAGAAGGGCTGAGTGTCCTGTTGCTTGCAGAAAAGGGGAAGGGATGTGGTGAGGGGATTCTCCCTAGGGCTTGGAGCCCTGAAAATCGGGAGATTCAGATCGAGGCGAGGGAGCCCAGAGAAGGCAGGGTACCCCCCCTCCCTCCCAGCAGGGCAACACACACCTCTCACCGCCGTCTCTGCACAGCCCTTGGGGAGGTTGGTGGCCAGGGCCAACTCCACGAGATTGATCTCACGGTCCTCCTGGAAGTAGAGCTCCCCCTCCTTGATAGCACGGAAGGGAAGGGGGTCCTGGGAGCCATAGCCGCACACCACCTGCCAAGGACACCAGCCACTCACTGCCCCGCCGGCACTCCCAAGGGGGGGGGTGTTGGGGGGGGAAAGGACTGGAGCGGGCGCTCTTGGGAGTCCGCCCAGCGCCCCTCTCCAGGGCCGGGGAGTCCCCGGCCGGGCTGGGGCTGGCCCCGCTGCCGCTCGCTCACCTCCACGTTGCTCCAGCGGAGGGCCCGGTTGAAATCCTCCACGGTGAGCTTGCGGCGCTTGGTGTGCTTGAGGAACTGCGCGCTGTTCTGCGGGGGGAGAGCACAGTGAGGGGCTGGGGCCGGGGCAGCCCCCGCGGGGATCGCCCCGGCCCGGGCGGTCTGCGCACCTGGGCGGCCTCCCGCAGGCGGTAGCACACGTCCTCGGCCAGTAGCGCGGCCACCTCGTCCGGCAGCTCCAGCCCCGCGCTCTCCGCCATCAGGCGCACGGACTCGCGCGGCAGCTCCACGAAGCGCCGCTCCTCGCGCTCTGCCATGGCTGCGCGAGAGGGGCGGGGCCAGACGGCGGCCACCTCACGCCTCGCCCCGCCTCTTCCGCCTTCAGCCAAGGAACAGTTTGTACGAGCGCCGCCATTGGCCGTCGTGCACGTCCATTCAAGCCTGCTGCGGGAGGAGGAGGAACAGCAGCAGCAGCAGGAGGGGCCGGGCGGAGGTCCCACGCGCCGGGCCGCCCCAGCTCCGAGCAAGCGTTGTCAGGCTGCTGCCGCGTGCAGGCTGAGCCTGGGCTTGGCTGCGCGTGAGGATCTCGCGCGGCACCTCGCGGGCTTGGCCAGGTTAACCCGCCGTGTAGACCCAGAGTAGGGCGGCCTTGCTGTGGTTTCGCTGCCCCCCGGGAGTGGAGTGGGCGCAGGCTCTGTTAATCCGGAATAACCTCCAGCTGGAGGGACCTTGTTGCTATGCAATGCAATGCAAAGTAATGCCCATTGGAAAACATAATCCCAGGTACACGTATAATAGGATGGTAACAACTAATTCAGTTCCCAATCGAGAGAGATCTTGAAGTCACTGGCTACATCTAGACTGGCATGATTTTCCGCAAATCCTTTTAATGGAAAAGTTTTCTGTTAAAAGCATTTGCGGAAAAGAGCGTCTAAATTGGCACGGATGCTTTTCCACAAAAGCACTTTTTGCGGAAAAGCATCCGTGCCAATCTAGATGCACTTTTGTGCAAAAAAGCCCCAATCACCATTTTCACAATCAGGGCTTTTTTGTGCAAAACAAATCTGTGCTGTCTACACTGGCCCTTTTGCGCAAAAGCTTTTGCCCGAACGGGAGCAGCATAGTATTTCCGCAAGAAGCACTGATTTCTTACATGAGATCGTCAGTGTTCTTGCTGAAATTCAAGCAGCCAGTGTAGACAGCTGGCAAGTTTTTCCACAAAAGCAGTTGCTTTTGCGGAAAAACTTGCCAGTCTAGACACAGCCACTGTGTTCTCTGAAAACATACGCTTAATGGTGCTTGGCACTGCTATGAGTTCAGGGGACTGGCCAGGATCACCTCTAAAGCTTCCTTCCTGTTTTATGAATGTGCAGCTGCAGGCAAAAAAGTGAACAGAATGTTAGGAATCATTGGGAAAGGGATAAACAATAAGATGGAAAATATCATTTTGCCTCTGAATAAATCCATGATACACAGACCCCTTGAATGCTGTGTGCAGATGAGGTTGTCCCATCTCAGAAAATATATATTAGAATTGGAAAAGGTTCAGAAAAGAGCAACCAAAAAGATTAGTGGTACGTAATGGCTACCATATAAGGGGAGATTAACAAGATAGTGACATTTGGAAAATAGACAACTAAGGGGGGAGATGATAGAGGTGTATAAAATCATGACTGGTGTGGAGAAAGTAATGAGTGTGTATAGGGTGCCTGAAGTCTTCCCTAGCCCTTTTTATAGAAGCAGTCATTTGTCTCCATTCATTGAACATGTCCTACCCTTTGTTCAGTCTCCCAATACACAGCCACCCACCCCTTTCCTGTCCTTGTGTTTGGTTGGAGGACATCCACCAGCCACCTCTGTCTCCAGCACTCCTCTCCCACCATGCACACTGACCAGAAGCAAGTCCACTTTGGATAAAATATGCCAACATTTGCTCAGGCCATGCTAAGCCTGGACCAGAAGTAGATTGCTGCAGCTGGAAAATCAGTACTGAGCCTCCCTGGTAAACCCATATGGGCCTGGGACCCAGAAACTCACCCAATCTGGCTCAATGGCTTACTGCAGCTGCAGTGAAACAATCAGTATAGCCAGTGTTAAATAGTGTACTGCACTGCAGGGTTCTACTTGGAACTATGACCCCATGCTGCTGCTGCACCCATCCCTGCCCCTGGTTAACCTACTTCTAAGGTTCTGGCTGCCCTTTCCCCCTGTGCCCCCCAGAAAGTCACCAGACCTCCTTGTCAACCTCTTCCTGACACTGGCCAAAATGGCTAGCTAGAACACCAGGAGGATGTTGGACAGGGAAGTGCACTGACTATTTCTGCTCCTCCCTTCAATCATGCATGTGGACAGAGTTACTCTGGGCTGTGTCCCTTGGCTCGCTAGACCCCTTTGAGCAGCAGGCACTGCCTGGAATTCTCTGCTTGTTGTCCCCTTCCAGTTCCCTGATTATGGCCCTATGTCCTCAGTCCAGTCTCTGTTTTTTATTAGTTGTCCCCATTTGGACCCTAGATTTAGTTGCTCCTTATCTTAGGCCTGCTCACCTCCCAGAACTCTATAGGTGCAGTGAATGCATATGCGTGTAGTCTGTCAGTTTAACAATGACATTTTCATGCTCTTTTTGTGGCTTTTGGAGAGACTCTTAAGTCCAAAGCGTGACATGCATGCTCATGACCAGATCAGGCAAAGACATTGGTCAGCATCGTGGTAGCTATAGCAGTAGTACATAGCTTTTCCCTGGCAGCTAACAATTATTTCTATCCTCTTCAAAGACTTGGAAGGCTCCAAGTTTTGTGTGTTACCAGGCTGATCTGTTTCATGCAGCCTTCCTAAGATCATCCAGTTTATTACACCAAAGTGTGTGTGGTTCTTGATACTGTCCTCGTAGTGCTTTCTGGAGTGGCCTTGATTCCAAGGTCCTTGTGCCAATTCTCCACACAAAAAGTTCCTGATTTGATGTTCAGACATCCTAATGGTGAGCCCAGCCCAGCACTGTGGAACTTTTATCAGCATGGCCTCAGTGCTTATGGCATTTGACTTGGGGAGAATCTGCAGGCTGCTAATTTTGTCCTGCCAATGGATTTCTGTAATGGCATGCAGAGACTGCATGTACAAGGCCTCCAGAGGTGCATCTACACTGCACCATAACTTGAAATAAGATATGCAATTTGAGCTATGCACATTGCGTATCTTATTTCAATGCTATGTCAAAATAGTTTATTTTGCCATTTGGTGCTGTCTGCACAGCACCAAATTTTTAAATAAAGCGCTATTCCAAAGCATTCCTTACTCCTCGTAGAACGAGGCTTACAGGGACGTCAGAATAGCAAGCCCGAAATAATAGCAAGAATCAGAATAGCAAGCCTGAAATAATAATAGCAAGAATCAGAATAGCAAGCCCGGGCTTGCTGTGAAGACACAGGATAGCTATTTGGGATACTCGGGTATCCTGAAATAGCGTTGCAGAGTAGATGTTGTCTAGCTGTTTGAGATGCCATTTGTACGGTGTGTAGGCCTCTCAGCCCTAGAAGAGAGATGTGAGCACAAAAGCATTATCAAGTTTTATTTTTGGTGAGAGGATTATGTTGTAGGAGTTCAGGACTTTGTCACATAGCTTTCTTAACGACCCATCAGTATTCTGTTTGTGATTCTGTTCACTGTCTCTTTGTCAAGAGGTCCATTTGAGACAGGTAAAACTGCCAGCATGCTTTAGTTGGATTCCCCAATGGATTATGCTTCAATATAGGACACAGACTGGTGAAGAGGACTCATGTAACACCACAGCTTCCTCTAGGCTCATTTTGAGGTCAGTTTTTGATGCTTCAGCAAAGCAATCAATGATGCACTGGAAATATCCCTGTGTGTGCTAGAGTGCTTCTCTGAAGATCTTCCTCAGCTGCAAAGAGTGCTTCTTTTAGGAGTGGTTTGGTTATTTTTGTTTTAGCGTTAAGCCTTAGAAGATGGAAGACTGAGCCAACACATCTTTATCTGATGGATATGCTGCCGTTGAGCCCTTCTGTAGCATGGTTGAGAAGACCAGCTGTACAGACCAGCATTAAATACCGGAATGTACTACAGGGCTACGTCTACACTGGCATGATCTTGCACAAAAACTCTTTAGCGCAAGAGTTCTTCCGTTAAAGTAGTTGTGCAAGAGAGCGTCTACACTGGCATGTGCTTTTGTGCAAGAGCATCCATTGCAGAGTAGACGCTCTCTTGCGCAAGAAAGCTCTGTTGGCCATTTTAATCATAGGGCTTTCTTGCGCAAGAAATTCATGTTGCCTGTCTACACTGGCCTCTTGCACAAGAACAGTTGCGCAAGAGGACTTATTACTGAGCAAGAGCATCATAGTGCTTGCGCAGAAGCCCTGATTTCATACAGTAGAATGTCAGTTTACTTGCACAAGAACACACGGCCAGTGTAGACAGGCAGCAAGTTTTTGGGCAAGAGCAGCCGCTTTGGCACAAGATTGTGCCAGTGTAGACACAGCCCAAGACTCTACTTGAAATGCCCGAAACCACATTGCTGTCATTGCACCCACACCAGCTTAACCTGTTCAGTGCTGGAAAATCCCTCTGGCATGGCATGCACAGGTGAGGCACAATGGGAAGAAGGGGCTATATCCCCTCTAGAACCCCAATCCTAGCCTGGCCTCTTCTGCTTGCCCCTGAGGAGAGAGTTGCAGGCACTGGGGCCTAAATACCTTTTCTACTTCTCTCCCTACCCCCTACCTGTTTCAGTTGGGGAAGGCAGCACTTAAACTAATAGGAGGAGGCTGTGCTGCCACATGGGACCTGAGGGAGGGATGCCTGTCCCATGACCCCAGCCCTGGAGCTACCATCACGGGGAGTGGCACCTCCCTCCCAGCCCTGGCACTGCTGTGTGGAGAGAGTTGGTGGGAGAAGGGGTTTCTCCCCACTGTAGTCCCAGGGCAGTCTGCACCCCAAACACCTTCTTTCTGGCCCCATCCCAGAGCCCTCATGCCTAGTAAGAGCCCTCATCCCCTGCCCCCAAACACAAACCCTGCTCCCACCCTAGCCTCACCCATGAATTTTGTTGTGTGCACCAATATGAAGGGGATGTGTCACAACATCTCCAGAATGGTGCACATAAAATTAATTCCACACATGTGAAAAACTTAGAGGGAACACTGGGGGGGAGGGGGGGGGCAGCTCAGCTGGGGCTGGGAAGCACTTTGTCCTGCTCAGAGCTGCATCTCTTGGGGACCCTGCCCCTTCCCAGTGCAACCTCCACCTTTGAATCCCCTTCCCATAAATCCCTCCCGCCAGCCCTCACTGAAACACATGGTGCTGCTGTTGGAACGAAGTGGCCAAAGCCAGGGTCTAACCATGCCATTCCCCACTCAGGCCCCACCGGCCCTTACTGATATTCCTTTCCTCTGTGAAGAATCATCTCCACTCCCAATAATGTGCATACAGAATACTGTCAGGCCAGCAGCATTCACAGGAGACTGGGCAAGGAGATAGGAGACAGGCCTGTGACCAGCTGGGGCCTGCCCGCTCCCTCACCCCCACCCCAGCAGCAGGACAGGCACAGCCCAGAGAGGCACATGGCTAGACCCTTTATTCCCTTTGCTGTGTCTGTACCATGTGACTGGAAAGTCAATCTAAAATAGCATCACCCAGTCTCAGGGCACTGTCCTGGCTTTCACTACTACCCCCCTCAGCTGTTCTGCCCACATATCGCTCCACCATTTTGGGCAGAAAGCCCTGCAGAAAGTGATAGAAGTCCTGGAATAGGGGGCCCTGCTGGGGGGCTGGGGTGAAGCACAGGAGGGTCCGTGTATCTTCCTGGCTCCCACCCACCTGGGCACAGGCTGTGAACCTCAGCAATGGCTCTGCCCCCCTGGAATCTCCCTCTTGCTGGATTATGGCCTCAGACACCTTCTCCTCCACCTCCAGGGAGCCAGCCTCCTGCTCTGTGTCTGGCTGGGGGCTGCCCAGGTGCCAGAGCTGGCGCCGAATGCGGCGTCGGCCCATCCAAACGCGGTGCCACACAGCACAGCTCCAGCTCATACTCTCCCCCTCCTCTGGTGCTGGGCCCTCTGCTCTCAGCCTCTTTCTGGCTGGGGAGACAACCAAGCTTCCTCCCTCATCAGACTGAGGATGCTTGGATCCCACTATGGGCTGCTCCCCTCCACCCTGCTCCGTGGGCTCCTGCGTCAGGGGCTGCCCCGCAGGCTCCGTGCAGCTGCACTTCAGCACGTCCTTCAGCACAAAGGTGATGGCAGAGCACACCTTTCCAAACCAGCAGCGACGGAAGTCCCTTGCCTGGCACAGCTGCCACCGGCTCCCAGGGGAGAGCGCCATTGGCGTGAAGGGAATGGTGAGGAGAAATCCATCGGGGCCCAGTTCCCCAGCTTCTGGCACTCCTGGCTGGAAGAGCCGCACCAGCCCCCAGGCTTTGCCCTTGCTGGATTTGCGTTGATACTGCAGGCTGCGGCAGTACTTGGCCCCGTCCCGGCAGCAGTGCTGGAACCGTAGCGCTGTCTTCTCGTTGACATTGGCTGCCACGTTGTGGCTCAGCTCAAAGGGATCCTGCACGTTGAAGGGACCCAGTTTGAGCTTGGAATCCATCTCCGAGAGCAGGAAGTTGGGCAGGGGCAGCGCCCGGCCCTCCCGCAGTGAGATCACACAGCCAGCAAAGTCATGGTCCCCAAAGACGCAGAAGAATTTGGCCAGGAGGGAACCTGCAGGGAGATGTAGACAGATGAGAGGAGGGTGGCTGTGTGGGGATGAGCCCTGCTGTAAAGTAAGGCCTTTCCCTGTAGTCATATTGTAAATTGAGGCTTTTTTCCCCTCTACAGCCATATTAGAAGAGCAGGAGTCACAGGTCAAGATGCAGAAAGTCATATCCTTACATTCCACGTGAAATATATTAAAACCATGTACTGTTGGGCTACTAAGAAGGCACTCTTGTGTTAATGAAACCCATTGTCACCAGATAAAGAAACACAGTTTAAAAAAACCTGTTTCGTATTCTGTCTTCAGGGAAATCACAACAATTGTGATTGTAAAATCTATATTTCTATTATTCGGCCTTTATGCTCCCCCCTTCTATTGTTTATCTGTGTGGTCCCTGTCCGGTTCTGTGATAGCAAAATTGTTTTTGTTTGTTGCATAACCTAAGTGTAAATCAACTATGTTGATGGGGTCTCACTGCATAAAGAATTGCTTTACAATACATTAGAGTTGGTTAGAAAATTGTTTAGTCATATTTTAATAAAATGACTGGTTAAAATACAGCTAAGCAGGACTCAAGTTTCACAATATAAACCAGGCTCCAAAAGGAAGTTCTTTGGCATCAACTCCAGGACACAGCCCCAAGATCAGAGCTGCCAGAGCTCAACTGCCTATCAAACCACACTGTGCAAAAACGAGCCCCCCCAGATGATCCTGACTAGTTTTCAAGAAAAGTCTATCTGCCTAATTGGGATTGGTGAGCATCGTGTGCTTAGCCTGTGCATTCTGGTTTGGTGACTTACTAAATAGACGTGGGATACTACCCTGGAAAGCTCTTTCATTGGTAAAGGACCCATACACCTGCAAAAGATTAAGCACTGAGTCCACAGGGGATCAGTGCCTGCTGAGTCCACAGGGAATGGGTGTTTACCCAGAGCGGACTAGAGCCTGAAGCCCATGGAGGGGTAAAGTTGGGTGCCTTCTACCAGAGCCCTAGGATCTGGGAAAAGGTGGAGGTGCCTAAATAAACAGGGCTACATCTTGAGCCCCCAGAAGGGTAAAAGGATGCCCTAGAGACTCTGTAATAGAGAATTTTGTGCAAGTAACTCAGGGTGGCCACAGGGGAGTAAGGTAGGCCAAGAGGCAGGGTGCTGGTGGGGAGATGGGAGCCCCATACATTCATGAGAACACAATGGTACTGCAGAACTTGGGTAGCTCTCAGTTTGCAGAGAGGGAGCTGGGGAAGGAGAAATATGCTTCTCTCTTCTCTTCCCCAATGGCCCAGGGAACCTGCCTGCATGGGACTGCCAGCAGATCAGACTGAATTGACCTTCTGTAGCAGTTCAAGAAAACATTCATTTCTTCCATCCCCATAAGAATGGCCAACCTGGGTCAGACCAGAGATCCATCAGGCCCAGTGTCCTGTCTTCTGACAGTGGCCAGTACCAGATACCCCAGAGGGAGTGACCAGAACAGGAAATCATCAAGTAATCTCTCTCCTGTCACCCATTTCCAGCCTCTGACAAACAGAGGATAAAGACACCATTTCTACCCATTCTGGCTAATAGCCATTGATGAACAGAACCTCCATAAATTTATCTAGTTCTTTTTTTGCACCCTGTTAAAGTCCTGGTCTTCACAACATCTTCCGGCAAGGAGTTCCACAGGTTGACTGTGCGCTGCATGAAGAAATACTTCCTTTCGTTTTTTTCAAACCTACCACCTATTATCCCCAGAGCACAATAGAAATCCATCTCTTGAAGCTGGGACAATCACTCACATCCTTGTGGATTGAGACCACCCTTCTCACAACCCCCCACCCAGGCAGGCAGGATGAATCCACCTGATCTCAAGTGGCAGGCCTGTGCATACGCTGTGAATGTGGGGTGAGAGGTTATCCTTCAAGCCATAACATACACCCCCCATGGCACTCACACAGACTCTCTGTGTTGGTGTTGGGCTCCAGCCGCGATGCATCCTGGGGGAAGCTGCAATCCCAGCCGTCCACAATGGCCTGATCCCCATCCCCTAGGGATGAAAACAGAAGTGGGAGGAGGAGTAAGGTAAACACTGCCTCAGGAGCTTAAGGGGGTAATTCAGCAAAGCCAGCTGGGTGCACTATGGGATGACTCCTACCTGTCAGCTCCCTGAGCTGGGCCACTGTAGGCAGGGCTGGGGGGCAACGTGTCTGCAGGAAGAACAGAACCAGCAGGGTCAGTGCGTAGTTGTTGAGGAGGGGACCTCCCCCAAACGGGTTTCCTGAGAAGAGACGGGCTATTAGAGAAGTGGATGGGGGCCCATCACTACAGATGTTAAAAAGCATGTATTTTTGTAAACGTGTAACCACTGAAATTTTCAGCAGTAACGTGTTTACATGCAGGGGGGAGCTGGGGCCGGTGCTCATGGGGAGCCTGCTTAAAAGCCAGTTCCCTGTGAGCACCAAATCCCACCTGCCCTCCCTCCCCCCCGTACATGCTGCTGCCTCTGTGGGAGTCAGCAGCATGGGGAGAGGAGGCAGGCAGCTCCTTGGGAACCAACATGCACAGGGAGCCAGCTTAAAAGCTGGCTCCCCATAGCCCACATGCTGCTGTCTCTGATTCAGAGGCAGCAGCAGGGAAGGGGGAGGGGGGAAAGAGAGAGAGAGAGAGAGAGAAACCATGAGGGTTAACCAGTGAGCCTAGGATCACCAGTTTACCTTACGCACAAGTACACATTCACATCCCTACCATGAATCCCTCAAATCCCAGCATGGTTTCTCCAGATGGAAGGTCTAGCTAAACTCCCACTAATGGGGGAAGGGAGGGAGAAGTCCTTACCCGCCAGACCCTGCTGCTTGGCCCAATAGCGCAACGTGTAGACCAGGGGCCGCACCCGCTCATCAGCTTCCGTACAGAACTGTAGGAAGCGTGTGTTGCAGAGCGCCAGCCTGTCAGGGAGATGAGACACGTGTGAGGGGGTGGGGGAGACACACATGCACGCTCTGAGGCACTCCTAAATCCTTGCCATTTTCCACTCCAGACCCCACCTCCCACTAGGCCAAGGGCAGCCCCACATGGATTTGGGTTGGTGAAAAAAATCTCGGGCATGAAGCCAGGATGTTTTGTCTCTCCAGAGCAGGGTCAACAGCTACCTATACACCCTGCCCTGGAAGGATGTTGTAGATGGGAGAGGCCCCTCCCGCTTCCCTCCCAGAAAGAGCTGCCCCTGCCTCCTCCCCCACCCCAGGCTCAACAATGCCCTCTCCCCATCTCCCATATACACACCCCGGCTCTGCACCTGTTGTTGATGGAGATGTCTCCCAGCAGCCCTGAGTCCTTGTGGCAGAACTTGACAACAGGACGACGGGCACTGGGCACTGCTTGGACACTGTGCACCCCTGGTACGCACTTCCGTAGCACAGCTGCCACCAGCTCGAGCACCTCAGGCACCGTTGCTGTTGCCAGATCGATGTCACTCAAGATGGAGTCCTCTGAATCGGTGTCTGGCCCTGCCCCCTCCTCGGCCTGCAAGGGGGTGCACTTAGTGCCCACCACCCATCATGCCCCACGATTGCAAAACCCCCTGGGTACCAGTGCCCATCCCCCCACTCCTCCAGGGGTCTCTGTTACCAGCCCTTCTCACTTGTGCCTCCTGGGGTGCTTTTGCAGATGCCTGGAAGGATTTTGTTTTCTCCAGGTCCAGGAACAAATCCAAGTCACAGCCATGGATGTCAAATCCATTCACCGAGGAACCAAAAGGAAGGATGGCACACCCTGCATACACACAGGAGGGAAAAGACATAACAATGGCACATGGAGCAAGGATAGGGAAGCGAACATAGGTATTTACACAAACACACACACACACACACACAGGTTGGGACTCACCCGGGAAGAATTCTGAGAAAACTTCCTGGAACAGGGTGACCAGTAGGTGCCGCAGCTGCCTCTCACTCTCAGAAAACTCAAATAGCTGCACCACCTGCGACATCTGGGCGTCCACCTGGGTGTGTGGTGGAGGAGGGAGAGGTCAACATCATCAAACACTCCTCCCCAACATGTGCCTAGGATCACATGGCCCAAAACCCCACCCCACCCAGCTCAGAACCCTGTCATCCATTCTCCTCATCGCCAAGCTCTGGGACCACACAGCCCAAACCCTCACTCCAGTGATCAACCCAGCTGCGGACAGCTCAGAACATTCCCCCATACACACACCATAAGAGAGTGTCCTTGTCCCACACAGCTCAGCAGCCACCCTTGCTCCTGGGTGGCAGAACAAGTCCCAAAGCCCCATCCATACTCACATCATCAGCTTGGCACAGGGCTTGGGTCAGCTTTTCAGGACTCAGTTGTTCACGAGGGGCAGATCCCTGCTTCTTGGGAGGCATGTACTTGAATTCCTTCTTCTCTCGAGGCTTCACCCGCAGCCGCTTCCCCCCCAAGCAATGCTGAGGGTGGGCTAGCACCTTCTCCAGCACCTCCTGGTCTTGCAGCTCCACAATAGCATAGACCCCCTGTGCACAAAAAACAAACCCTGTTAGTACTAGTGAGGGGCGTCTCATCTTCCCAAGGAACCTCTGGCCCATCCACAGGACTCACCTTGTCTTTGTCCATCACCACACTGGCCACACCCCCAAAGGCCTGGAAGTACTCACTCAGCTCAGGGGCTGATGTACCTTTATGGAAGCCGCTAACAAAGACACTGCGCAGCTCCTGGAGTTGGCGCTTGGTACGTAAGCTCTCCAGCCGCTGGTGCTTCTTCCCCCGCAGATGGTCATGCAGGCTGGGCTCTGCAGGGGAGACACATGCAGCTCAGGAGCAATGGGGAAATACAGGGGCAGAAACAGGTTGGAGATGAAAGTCACACTTCCCAGACTGCAACTTCTAGACCCAGAGGGTAATCTTTAACCTGACACAAACATCCACGTGGTAACTCTGACCTACCACTCACCCAACACGTCCAATCTGTGACCTGCATGGACAGCCTGACACTTACACCCACAAGGCCGCTTTGGCGGGACACTAATCACACTCACACCATGACACCCCAACACCGAACTCAACCGTGACCTCTGACCTGCCAGCAACCCATCCAGACCATGGTCCTAAGGTGCCGCCTCCTCTCACTGTCACCTGACGCCGGCACCAGGCCGCCCCCGCCCTCTGACCCGAGAGGGACCATGACCCCAACTCCGCCTGTGCCCCCCAGCCCGGTATCCCGGACCCCGC